AATCCCAGGAAAACTTTCTTTGTCATCTCAAAGCTTTTCTAGTTCACACAATGTTCTTCTTAGAACTGAACATCATTTTCAATTTGCTTTTCTGAGGATAAAAATAACTTTAAAAGTGACATGAAGTTTCTGATAAGCAGAACAATTGAATGAGGACAGGAAAATTATCAGCATTACGTAGTGTCTATATTTTGGTCTTTTCTTTCATTACATACAGACATTTGCAAAGCATCTTTCCCCAGTATCTCCTTACAGATGTCAGCTCTTCATAGGCTAAACTTCACTCGGAAGAATTCATAAAATTACTATGATCAAATTATTTTCTTACCAGTCTTATGATGCTTTACTTTGAATTGCTATTAGAAGTACTCATAAAATATTCCTCAATTTGCTTTTTAGTGTGTTTCCTGAAATGGATATGTTTGGTCAATTTTTTAAAGGGGAAGGTAATTTATCAACCTGACCTATTGATTAATATGATATTCCATAAATCTCATTTTAAAAAATAAGAAAATCTATGTAGAAATATCTGACATCTTAAACTTCTTTTAAAAAGTAACGTTAATACAGATTTATTATTCAATGTCATTTTCTTCGTACAATTCAATCTCATTTTTTTCAACTTTTATATGTGGTTAAATTGGGATTCAGTGGTAACAAGCTGACTTTACAAATTATACCAAAAAATTACATTACTTTATAACTCATGACTAAGGCAAAAGACATAGTCCAAGATTTGAACTATGAAGTCAGCCATGGGAGATCCAGCCACCTTAATCACCACACCACCTGGCTGGCCTTAAGAACCATTTTTAAAACCCTTGAGACTCCCATCTCAGTGGTGTAGGCCACAGTGCACATGATCAACCCTGAGTTCAGATCTTGAGTGGTCTTGAAACACACAGGACACGTGCATGCCTGAGGTCCTGACCAGGTAGAAGGTGCAGGCAATGGGATCGAAGTGTGCCCAGACCCTGTTGGGGTGCCACTACTTCTCTCTTGAGTGTGCACACACGTATTCTTTCTCCTAAAAGAAATAAACTTTTTTAAAAATCTTAAAACTAAGATGCTGTTAAAGAGAGACAGTTTAAGAGTTGTAGTTTGGAATACTGTTACCAGTGTGCAAGGGCCCTTAAAGTCAGGAATTTTCATGTGTGCACATGCCTATACTTGGTCAGTAGCTTTATTGATTATTCCTAGCTAGGTAGGCAGATGGGCCTTGTCTGAGGAAAAGTACCCAAAGGTGGGGATGGAATGCCTTTCACAATTTCAGCCATCTTTTCCCATCCTAATGACTGTTTTACATAGAATCCTGAAGGTGTTAAGCAATATATTTAGATAAAAAGTTTTGCTTAGTAAAGCAATTCCACAATTTTTCTCAGAGATATTTACCATAGGGTATGTGTGCTCAGAGAGACAGAAAGTGAAAAATCACTGTGGAGGGAGGATGGCCACACTACAATCCCTTCTCCTCCATTCTTCTCTTGGATCTCTGGGGCATGCACACACATGTGCCCAGCACAAGTTTCAAGTCACCAGGTCTAGGACTTGAACCACGGTCAGCGTGTCAGAGTCCAACATCTCGTCATTCTTTTGAAATGCTCTTCGGTCATGCTTACTCCACCTTCAGAGAGAAATAATCAACCAGGTGGTGTGACTCGATCTAGACCAAGTAACTGGATCTCAAAACAGGTTTCCTTTGCCTGAATACTTGGTTTGTCAGTACGCACTCTCACTCAACAAATATCCTGCTCACCTGATGCTGTTAGAAGAATTGTCAATATCTGAAAAGAAATATGGAAAAAAGGAAAACTGTTGCACATAAAAATGTAAGTCATTTACTCAGGTTGTTGTTCTACAGAGATAATAAAATGTTTCCCCACACAGGAGATAAACGCATCCATTTCATCCTAAATGGATGCATATTCACTGACTTCTGGGCACTTGAGGTTATAGCCCCCAAACTGTAACCTTACCTACTTTTCACTTATCCAAAGTTTGACCAGTGTTGTGATGTCCCTGGAGCTGAAAAGGAAAACATTTTCCTAGCTTTCCGAATAATTAGCAAAGGGAAAGCAATGTTGTTATTCTGTATCCATTTCCAATATCCTTTTGAAAAATGCATTGAAACAAAATGTGGTACAAAAGATAGAATGGCTACAAATAAAATGTTTAAAGTAGAAATGTAAGTTAAAATTCAAATGAAATACTTATTCCCTACCATGAATTTTTTGGTATCTATATTGTTATGATGCAATTATTCCAGATGGCTAGAAAAAAAGTAGTGAATAATAATAACAGTGATGTGAAATCTTTTACTTTTAAAGTTTAACATAGTCCATTATTAAAATGGGTACAAGAATAGGCTCTGAGCAGGTGGCAAGAAGAAGGTAATGTTCATCTATCTACGCTAAGAGTAAGAGAACTCCTGAACTACAGTGGTTTGTCAGAGCGTCTGAATAGGACATATTTGATGATCCTTGATCCTTTATAGTCTGACATTTTCTCACTGCTCTAAATTTACTTATTTATTTTATTTATTATGAGAGAGAGAGACAAGCACCCCTGACAGGGCCTCTCGATGCCATGATCCTTTTACCTCAGTCTCCCAGCTAACTGTGCCTCTGAAGCTGGCATGTTCAGGTTGGTTCAGGACCTAACCCTGGGCCTCCCATGTGGCTCCAGCATTGTGCATGCAGTAGTACTCTGCAGCTCACACCATATAACTGGGCTTCTATTTTTAAGTTTATTTGTTTATGTTTTAGAGAGAGAGAAAGAGAGAGAGAGGAAGAGACAGAGGGAAATCTCTTTTTTTATTATACTTCCTTTTGTTAAAGGCATGAGATCTATACTAAGAAAATTTCAAATATATTATATATTATCATTGAATATAAGCACAGATCACTAGAGTTTATTCCTCTTACTTGATTAAGACTCTATGTCTGTTACTTAGTAACTCTGTTTCTACTTCCCCTATCCTTTGGTAACTATCACTCCACTTCTTAATTCATGAATTTGGCTCTTGTAGATATGTCATATAAGTGGAATCATTTATCTTTCTGTGACTGGCTTATTTCACCTAGCACAATGCCCTCAAGGTTCATCTGTATTATAACATGGTGCAGAATTTCCTTCTGACATTTCTGTCTTTACACTCCTGATTCAATGATCTTAGGAAATCTAACAAAAATCAGGAGGGCTTTATTTTTCTTGCAAAGATGTGAGAAGTAAATATTTTTTTTAATTTCCACATATCCCAGGTTACAGATAAACTTTATATTCTAAATCATTTTAATATTTTGGAAAACAAATTTATCAATAAGATTTAGAAAAACATAAGACAAAGGTACTTTTGTGCCGTTCCTATCTGGAATGCATTCTAGATTTCAAAAGAAACACTGAGAAACATGCTGCTGACTATAATGGAAGAGGTTATAACATTTCCTAGGCAAAAAGAAATTTTGTTTCATTATCAAGGTGTCAAAAAAATATATTTTGGTCATCCAAATGCATGTAAAGTAATACACCGAGTTACTTATGTGAAAAGATTTCCTTTGGTTTTCATCCATATGAATTATACTGTGTCACCTGCTATATTCGGTCCCAATGCTAGCTCTTTACTCTTTCCTATTTGTTCAGTATTGCCAGCCATCAGGTGGAAAAACGGAAGTGCAACACTGCCACGTGTGCAACGCAACGCCTGGCAAATTTCTTAGTTCGCTCCAGCAACAACCTGGGGGCCGTTCTTCCACCTACCAACGTGGGCTCCAATACGTATGGCAAGAGGAATGCACTCGGGGTTTTAAACAGAGAACCACTGAATTACCTGACCGTTTAGAGGTCAATGCACCTCTACAGTTCTCACTGTTTTATGTCTAAGTACTCTGATGATTTCCTGTACAATCTAATAGTGCCTTTTTCATTTCAAGTGTGAATGTACAAGTCTGTGTGCCCTATGTCTGTTACTAGTACATATCAATTGTCATGTTAACGATTGTTTTAAATTAAGTAGTAAATGAAGGTCCCATAATTCCATAATAACAAGACAATGTCTTTAAAAAATGAAATGGTTTTTGCTATAGATTTTTCTTTCGAAAGCATAAAAAATGTCTTTTTTTAAAAATATTATTTTATTGGAACCAGCAGTTAGCGTAATGGCTATGTCGCTGGACTCCCACGTAGTCGACCGCGATTCGAGTCCCGGACCCGGTGGCTTAAACTCACGCCGGGCGCGTGTGCGTACGTGCCCAAGATCCCGAGAGGAGAATGGAGGAGAAGGGATTGCGGCGTGGCCATCCCCCCTGGGGGGTGATTTCCTGCTTTCTATCTCTCTGTCTCTCTCTGTCTGTCTGGCGAGCGCACGCGCCCTATAGCAAAAACCTCTCACAAAAAAAAATAATAAATAAAAAATTATTTTATGACCTGAGTTTTTAAAATCAAGGAGAAAATGGTCATTTGAGACTTAGCAATTATAGTCAGCTAGTGGTAAAGTTATGATTCTGAACATTAGAAAATAATTGATTCTAAATAACTTTCTTAACCATTTCCTTTCTGTACTAGATTTCTGAAATAAGATGCTGCTTTAAAAACAAATAAAATCCTGCTCTTAAATCAGTTAAAATTCTTTCTAAAATTTTATTCTTTGCTAATACTAAGAGGTTATTTAAAGATATAAAGGCAGGACCAGCAGTTAGCATAATGGCTATGTCGCTGGACTCCCACGTAGTCAACCGCGGTTCGAGTCCCGGACTCGGTGGCTTAAACTCACACCGGGCGCGTGTGTGTGCATGCCCAAGATCCCAAGAAGAGAATGGAGGAGAAGGGATTATGGCATGGCCATCCCCCCAGGGAGTGATTTCTCACTTTCTGTCTCTCTGTCCCTCTCTGGCTGTCTGGCGAGCGCATGCGCCCTATAGCAAAGATATAAAGGCAATTTATATATATATATAGGAGTTTCATTGTATGTTATCAGTGATGAACATTTATTAATGCAAATGCCCTTAATTCTGTTTCAGTGGCTTTCAGCAAACCTCAGTTATATTCTTTTCATAATTTTAATTATTTATTGTTATTATTTTTCCAATTTGACCAGAGAAAGATGAGAGAGAGAAACTGAGAAGGCAAACCACCAGGTCCAAGACTCGAACCTTTATGTGTCAGATGGGAGTCCACCGTCTTAACCACTATGCCGCCTGCTCACCCCTCAGTTATATTCTTATGCAAGGTATTTCAAAAACAACTTATGTTTTCTTAATCACTCCTTCAATGAAAAGACCAGAGATTTTGGAAACTATGTACAGTATGAAACTTATTTTCTTTGTTGAACTAATTGGGCAATTTTGGCAGATGTTATCTGTGTATGATTGCACTTTTTGTGATGGAAGCTACAGAACTGGACATGAAATAAAAAAACTTTGTATCAAGTCGGATTCTGATAGGGTCTCTGCTAGTCCCTGACTCTGAGTTAGGTACCTTTGGAACTAGCATTAATTCATATGCACTGCTATTGTATTGCATTATGCCATCTCTAAAGGCAATCAAGTTGTATTTTTTTAATAGAAAACATACCACAATCTTAGTAAGAATCTAATTTGAATTTATTTTTACATTAAAACTTCTTGTTATACAGTGTACCTGAGATTACAAATTCACATAGGCTTATGGTAAATGTATAGAGACAGAAATAGATTATTTATGAGTTTTATGACAGATTGAAATAAATAAATGAGTACATAATTCCTATTCTTATTCATTCAACTGTTGGTGCTTCTTTCAAAATGGACTCAAGCTGAACATTTCAAATAAGATGCAATTAAATTAAAATCTCTTAAGTTTACTTATAAAAAATTTACACAAGAGCCTAAAGAAAGCTTTATCGCATAGTACATCTCTCTATATATCATTTATAATATAAATATTCTATTTGAGTTTTTTATTTAGCTTTATAATTTACTTCAGTTCCCCAACCTATCTTTCAAATATTAAGAAATGTTTGATGAGCACATACGATATTTGAGGGAATAACATATGGTGGCATACAATTAACAGTATCAAAATTAAGAGAATTATGTATTATCACCTAATGCTTGCCAGAACTAAAGATAAGAACATACTTAGGGTCACTATATACTGTTTTGGGGGGAGAGGTTTTTGCTAAAGGGTGCATGCTCTCGCCAAAAAGACGGAGAGAGACAGAGAGACAGAAAGCGAGAAATCATCCCCCGGGGGGATGGCCATGCCGCAATCCCTTCTCCTCTTTTCTCCTTGGGATCTTGGGCACGCACACACACATGCCCTGCATGAGTTTAAGCCAACGGGTCTAGGGCTCAAACCGCAGTCGACTATGTGGGAGTTCAGCAACATAGCCATTACACTAACTGCTGGTCCCCAAGGGTCACTATATAATTTAATCACTCCAGCTGGGAGACTTTTGAGAAGAAAAGAATAAATGGGTATATATCTGATTGACACAGCAGATATTACTAGTAGATTTTATTCTAAATCTCATTCAAGTTCTTATCCAGTAAATAGTTAAACAAATATTTATTATTTCTTTTTTAAAGAGTTATTTTATTTTATTAATATCTTTCTTTTTAATTTTTGTTGTAAGGCATGTACACTCATTAGAGAAAGCAAGCCACAAGGTCTGAGACTCCAACCATGTCAGCCATGCGGTAATCTTGTGCCTTAATCACCACACCACCTGCTAGCCCCAAGTATTATTTCTTAATTAAATTAGTATTCATAATTCAGTAAGGAATCTAAACATGTAAAGGTTAAGAATGCCTTAGTGTGTCATAGAGCTTATTGAACATTTCCTTAGGTTTTTCATATTTACCTTCTGGAAATAATGAATCTATAATAACTTAATTACTGTAGGAGATATCAACAGTAAGATTTTGGAGACTAACTTTATCACAGCCTTTCTCAATGTCCCTATGGTACATAAAAGTAGGTACCCTCAAGTAGCCTAAGAGTGAATTAAGCTTCCAAGTACCTATATACATGCTACAAATGATACCTTATTGAATATTTAGAAGTACAAATGATTCCTCAATGTCTCACAGTGTAATACAGAGCAAGAGCAAAGATGCATGTAGTAATACCACATAGAAAATTTCTAGAAAGTCTCTTGAAATTTGAAGAGGACATTATGCAGTAAGCTTCTTGTTTCTCTGCATCGTATGTATCACTATAGGCCAATATTATATTTAGATTAAAGAATAATTTTCTGTTAAGAGTAGAAAAGCTTTATGAGTGCAAAATTTCTTTGCCTCATGTAGTGCCTGATTACAGAGTGGGACTTTTCTCAAGCACACTAGTTTCTCCCTTCATTTTTACATTTTTTCTTTTTCACATGCACACTACTGAAAGCTATGGAATGATTCATCTTATTTACAATCAATGCATCTTTAGTAGACATTAGTGTCTTCAAATATTCTCTTCCCCTTGTGCATGCAAGAGATAGCTCTCAGCCCTCTTGCTTTCATGTGGAGCTATGTGGCTAGTGAAATATGAGCCAAAGTGTTGTGTTTCACTCCCACACTGATGTGATAGGTGAAAATTCAATGCAAAAGTTTTCAGTCTTTCCCTTTCCTCTATTGCCTCTATTCTTGTGGAGGCAGTTGGGTCCCTGAGTCACTTCATAGAGGAGAACTTCTCTACTGATCTATTCAGACATGCAGTACAAGTAAAAAAATAAATCTTTGCAGTTTTATTGTATTGCTGACCCATAGTATAATAACCAAAATAAAATGTTGCATTCTTCCTTCCAAATCTGCTTCTCCTACTGACTTTATTATATTTAATAATAGCACAATAATCCTTCCACTATAATTCAGACTTGAAATCCTGAAATTATTTCTGAATGTGCAAATTCCCTATTTTACATCTTTAAATCTTTACCAAGAAATAGATACTCCATCTTGGTCTGTTTTTTTGTTGTTGTTGTTGTCATTGCTGCAACAGAATACCACAGAGTGGGTATATAATTAACAATAAAAGTTCATGTGGCTCACAGTTCTGGAGGCTGGGAAGTCTACAAGCATGGCCAGGTAGCTGACCAGGGTCATCTCATGGTGGAAGGGTGGGAAGTAGAAGCAAGCATGTAACACAGAGAGAGCAGAAGGAATGGGCTCCCTTTTAAAACAACTCAGTATTCAAATAACTAATCTACTTCCACTGATAAATCATAAATCCATTCATGATGGCTCTGACAACACTGACTTTGGAGATTGAATTCAACACATGAATTTTGGAGATACAGTCCAGCTAGCATACCCTAAGGCTCCTTGCTACTAATGCATGTCTTTCTTTTCTTCTTCCATTAACATAACTTGCCCTCTCTACTGCAAGCCAGAACCATTGTAACAGCTTGTCAATAATCATCCAACCTCTAGTTCCTTTCTGATGGATTGCACACTAATACAAGATTAAGTTTACAAACACACATTTCTTATTATATTAGTTTTCTATACTGGAGTTTTCAAAGGCTTATTCTTACCTACTGGGACACATCAAATTCTTTAGGCTGGCATTTGCATTTCTCTATAGGTTAACCCCAATTCTCTTTTCCAGCTTAACTTCACATCATTTTACTTCATATACTAATGTTCCTTCCAAACCATTTGGCTACAGTTGCTTATATTAAATAGATACTATTACCTTTTCTAGTCTTTGTTCTCGTCCATCCTCATTCCTCCAAATTGAAGAGCTGTCCCCAATGCAGCCTTTTGAAACCTTTCAGTGACAAACTCATCAAGAATCTTCCATCATTGCCCTATTGAATGATTTTTCCACCCACTGGATTCTTATCACACTTTAAAGGTTATTTTGTAGATCCAAAAGAAATGATATTAGTATTATCTTATTTGTATTAAGAATTCTGTATTATAGTGCTGTGTTATTTGTGTGGTTGATGTATCTCTCTTCAACACTGCTTGATAGGTCCCTCAGAGCAAAGAGCTTAATCCTTTCTCCCTTCCCCAAATTATGTAGTATACCATCAAGGAGCTTTAGCATATTTACTTACTGTGGAGAAAGGCTACTTCAAGAGGTTATGCCTTCTGCTCTTGATATTATAATGGAAAAGAGTTTAATAATTCTTGTCTCTTGAAAATAAC